GAACCTGGTTTCTCAGATTTGAATTCCATTTTATCAGATTCGTCTCTGAAACAGGGATGTATAACATTATAAGCAAACGATTCTTTCTTCATAGCATTAATTAGCCTTTAGACACAGAGAAAAAAAAAAAAAAAAAAAACCTAGAACTCTTGTGTTGATGAATCACCCCAATAACAGCCTCGAACTCCTCTTTGGCACGTTCGAACATGTTTGGTGCTTTGACTTTGCTCACAACAATGTCACCATGTTCATCACCTTAACACACACACATAGAAACTCATATGACATGAGATACGTAACTAATATCCCTAAAATTGAATTGTATACAAGATTCATCACATGGGGTTGATAAGAGCAATTGAGCAAAGAACCAATCAACTTAAAGATAGATTTCATCGCAACGGTGTATGACTGTGAAGGAACATGAACATCGAGAAGGACTTACCAGAAACTGTGTTGGCACCAGTCATCTTCTTCCTTGGATGAAGAGAAAATGAGAGAATCGAAGGGATTTTTCTAAGGGTTTTCTCTCTCAGAGTTTGTGAATGCAACATAGAATGGTCTCTTTTTATTTGAAAACAAACCGTAAGAGCCAGCTGGATTAGCAACATATCGGGTCCCACAGTCTTAATGTTTTTACACTAAAGATTTTGATTGTAAAACATTTAGATTAGCATTTCAAGACGATAATACACACTAAATGTTCTTTGTTCAATATTCTCATATGCAATTTTTGATAGAGCATTTAAAAATTATATATAATTAATTAATTTCATTTAATGAAAATCAAAAATATGTTTATATCCAAAATAAAATTTTAATTTTTAAAAATTGAAATTTTCAACTAAAATAATTTAAATTAAAAAGGAATATTTCAAATTTAATTATAATTTATAAACTTTAATATGATTTATTTTTTCAATTAAAAATGTAAAATGTATAAATGTTTATATTATTTAAAAATAAACCAGTTATGTATCACATATACTAATTTAATGATAATTTTAAAAAATAAATCAGTTATGTATCATATATTATTTAGGATGTCTAGTCATATGTAAATCATTAATACACCTTAGGATTATATTGCTGATTAGGCAAATTACTAAACTATTACTATATGCAAATCATTTCACTACTTTATAACATTATTAATAAAAAAAATTATACTAAGCTGATTATATACATTTTATCATATTATAATATACATATATATATATATATATATATATATATATATATATATATATATATATATCAAACTTATATGACCAAAATAGTTTAATGTCAACTTATTTAAACTAATGAAAATAATTCTTCTTTTTTGTTTCATATTAGATCAGATTAAGAAAAAAAAAACACTGTAACCATTTCAAAACAATTCCTTCCTTTTATGAATTTGCAAAAAAACAAAATGTCAATATACTTTTACTTAAATTATTATAATAATTATATTGAAGGTTAGATGTGTTAAATATTAGATAAGGGTAAATTTTCAGGATTAAAGATCCAAACCCAAACAGATCCAAAAGACCATGTTCACGTTGGATCGGATCATATTCAAATCTAGCTAAATACACAATCAGGTTTCCTATAAAGTATTTCGGGTTTGGATCTGGATATATTGTTTGGTATCCGTATATGGTTTCCAAAAATATATTGAGTATATGGTTTCCAAAAATATACTGAATAACCAAAGTATATAGAGGTTGATTGGTAACTACTGTAAATACTTTGGACAGTCACTTTTTCTTTTTACAGTATTTTTCTAAAGCAATCAAGCTTTACCTTTAAAAATTAAAGCTACAGCAAAAAGTTTAGAAAATGAAAGATTTTAGCTTTTTTTTTTTTTTTTTTGAAAGAATTTTAAATTTATTCAAACAAAAAAAACATTGTTACACAAAGTGCATCCAAATAAGAAAGAAAACCTACTCCTCAAGAAATTATTTATCATGACAAAAGCCAAACAAAATCTAAAGAATCCATCACAACATCCCTCCTCATATTTGACCATGTGAAACAAGTCAAATTATTGGAAGGATCACAAGATAATCCTCATTAAAACCTTGTCAAGGTAAACCCAAATAGGACAAACCCTTGACAAGGAAAGAGTAATTATCATTATGATCAGAGGGGTGTATAGAGGAAACCAAACCCGCATAGAAAAACCAACTACAAGAAGACCACAGCCGCAGACAAACCAACTTCATCAGCCACAAAAACTATAGCAAAATAATCTTCATCCGTCACAAAAGATTTTAGTTTTCAAAATAAACATTTCTACATATTTTATATAGTGCTTTGAAAATAAATCTACAGCAAAATAATCAAAGCTAAAGCAAAAAAACCCACAGCCTATTTTCCAAAGCAAACAACCTAAAACTACAGCACCAACCAATCAACCCCATAAGCAAAAGAAAACATTCAGGTGATTTTATACTTACTTAATATTTCAGGTCATTTAGTCAGATTCTTTTTCAGTGTGATATTTTCATTTCTGTGAACTGGAGTTGAAATATATATATATATATATATATATATATGCCAAACTATTTTTACAAGAAACAAAAAGTAATGACAACAAAAAAATATTATATTTGAGAAATTTATTTTAAAATAGAGGTTTTACAATTTTAAAAATGTGACTGTTGCGTTGCTTTGGATGATGGTTCTATAAATCAAAATGAATTAAAATTCATTTGTAATAAAATTTAAAATAACTAAGAATTCATTATTTATATTTAAATACAACATCTATATTTCAAATAAAATGATATTAAAATATATTCTTAAAATGAATTAATTATAAATATGAATTATGTATATAAATAAATATTATAGAAATGTATTTTTATTCTATATATCAAAATGAATTAATATTCATTTGTAATAAAATTTAAAATAATTAAGAATTCATTATTTAAAATAAATATTTAAAACAATAATCAATATATATATATATATATATTTTTTTTTTTTAAAAAAAATTATAAGAAGATTAAAAGATATTGTTAAAATGCAATACTAAACATATAGTTAATAATATATTTTGATGTCTTATGTTAAAAATATTTAAAAAATATGTTAAGATTGTGTATATATTAATAATAACTAAGTTTGGTTAATATTAAATAAATTGATGGAGACGGTGTCGACGCCGGATCCGCCTGGTTCGTCGAGCGTGGTTAATGGGGAAAAGTCTGGTGAGGGTGATGGGGTCCCGACTGGGTTGACGGAAGGTAAAAGTTGGGTTTCGATTGCTAAGGAGAAGAAAGTCTTGCGAAGGTATGAGGTGGAGATTCAGGTGAAAGAAGGTAAACAAACAGTGGAGATCCCCGATGAGGTTTTATCGGATTCAACACCGTTGTGGGATGATTTTCTCATCGGTAAGTTTCTGGATATATCGCCTCATGTAGCTAAAGTTCATATGGTACTCAACAAAATCTGGAAGTATGGTGATCTGTCAGCGAAGATTGAGGTCTATGAAGTTAACGCTATGACTATGAGATTCAAAATTTCAGATCCAAAAGCTAGAGAGAAGATTATTAGAAGGGGGATGTGGAATATAGCCGGTGTTCCGATGGTTGTCTCGAAGTGGACCCCAAGAGCGGAAGAGGAGCCGCAAGAGGAGAGCTCTATTCCGATGTGGGTTCATCTTACGAAAGTTCCATTGCACATGTTTTCTTGGGAGGGGTTGAGTCTTTTAACGAGTCCTTTGGGAGTTCCAGAGAAGCTTCACCCTGAAACGATTGCGTGTTCCAGCTTTGATGTAGCGAAGGTATTTGTGAAGGTAGATGTGTCAAAGGTTCTGCCAAAAGAGATGAATTTCACTAGTAAGGGAAAGGAGTTCAAGGTGGATTTTTACTATCCGTGGCTCCCAACTAGATGTAAGTTCTGTGATAAATGGGGACATGGTGAAAAAGTTTGTGTTGTTAAGCGAAAGGATAAAGAGAAAGAGTTGGAGAAAAGTTTGGAGGAAAAAGATAATTTGGTAAAAGTTTCTTCTGTGGAGGTGGTAGAGGAGAAGAAAGATGAGATCTTCGAGACCACTGCAAAGGTTGCAACTGTTGTTAATGAGGATGAGGTCGTAGCGAATAAGGGGAAGTCTGCAGAGGGTGGGATTGTGGAGAGTCCTAAGGATACCTGGTCTAAGATTCCTCAAGGGAAAGTAAGTATATCTCAGACTAGTACGCCTATACGTACTGAGGCTGAGTTTCTGATTTCTGCGTCTAAGTATTCTGTGCTCAGTACAAATGTTGAAGATGAGGAAGTTATGGGTGTTGAAACACGAGTTGATGAAGAAGATGAGATGGAGGAATCTGAGTTGAATAAGAATAGTGAGGTTCGGGATATGGATGTATTGGAGGAATCGCTATTGGAGAGTAGTAAAGGGAAAGAGAAAGTAGTTAAGCAGAGAGGTAGGAAGAAGGGTCAGAAGAACAAAGCTCGGGATGTATATCCTATGAGTAAGAGGTCTTCTCGACAAAATCATTAATATGGTAGGGTTTTTTTGGAATGTTCGTGGATTTAACAAGTTTTTGAAACATTCCGTTGTTAAAGAGTGGGTTCGCAGCTATGATATGAATTTTGGGTGTGTGATAGAAACAAGGGTTAAGGAGAATAAAGCAAATAATATTATGGGATCTGTTTTCAGTGATTGGTCAGTGATGACGAATTATGAATGTAGTCAAGGGGGTCGGCTCTGGGTTGTATGGAAGGATAATGTTCGTATGACTCCAGTTTTCAAGTCGGATCAACTTATAACATGTTCGGTTGGGTTGCAGGGTGAAGAGGAGGAGTTTTTTTGTTCTTTCATTTATGCAAGTAATGCGGTTGAGGAGAGGAAAGTTTTATGGAATGACTTGTGTGATCATCATTCTTCTCCTATATTTAGAAACAAGTCTTGGTTATTGATGGGTGATTTTAACGAGATCTTGGAGGGAGGTGAAAGCTCTGCATTCTCAAGTTTACCGAGTGGGATGAGAGATTTTCAGAACATGGTGTTACGTTGTAGTCTTACTGATATGGGATATCAAGGACCTCTCCATACTTGGTGCAATAAGCGTGAGGAGGGATTGGTTTGTAAGAAACTTGATAGAGTACTGATGAATAATGCAGCTTTGTGTAGATTTTCAAATGGGTATGCTATTTTTGAGGCGGGGGGTTGCTCTGATCACCTAAGATGTAGGATTCACTTGAGAACGGGGAGTGTGAAAATTAAAAAGCCGTTCAAATTTGTAAATGCTATTGGAAAGCTTCCGAGTTTCTTACCAATGTTGCAGAAGTATTGGGATTCTACGGAGGTTCTGTTTCTTTCTACGTCTGCTATGTTCAGGTTTTCTAAAAAACTTAAGTATCTAAAACCTTTGATAAGAGAGTTGGGGAAGAAGAATCTGGGAAACCTTACGAAAAAAACTCAAGAAGCCTATAGTTTACTGTGTGAGAAGCAGAAGAATACTCTGCTGAATCC